CCAGGTAAATGTCCATCAAAATAAACCAACGACCACAGTACTAGGTGACTGAACGGGCTAGGGTAAATTTAGCTAAACAAATCCCTTAATGTTATCTGCCAGGATACACATCTATGAAGAGTAATGGTTAATGATACTAATTTTTCATTAATAAATTTTGGCTAGTAATGCGTTTACCTGTATCTGCATTCCTGGTGAGGATATGCCGAGTTGGAATTTTGAACGCAGTTGGATGCAGCGTTGGCCATCGCGACGTAGTTAAGGCCCCGATCCACCCATTTAGACCACATAAAGTTCATTTTCGTGAACTAATAGCCGCATAAATCATGGCGTCATTGACTGCACCCAGTCGCCACACACACCAAGAACGCGTAAAATTTATGGATGTGGTGGCAGAAACCCAATTCTAAAATGGCATATTCATCGCCAGAGAAATTCATTCACAAGTAATATGGTTGCTTGGCATTCAAAGTTCATTTGATCGGAAATAGGAGTTAAAATTGTGGAGGTAAAGGCATATAAAATATTTTCCTTAGTGCAAAAATTTAACCTAGTCCTAATTTTTTTGTAAATATGTTCTCTAGGTTGGCACCGTCTATGTCAACTATGCTTTTTTTACGATTTCCAGTTGTGGGTACTAAAATATTGCGCTGAAAGCTAACACTGCATTTATATTTCTACCTTGAATTGTGATTTTCTCCTCTTCTTCTCAGTATGGCATGAAATGCCATCAACCTCTTTATAAAAGCTTGCTTTTACCAAGGAAAGATGGAATGACTGATTTTCGGTTCCAAGTACTATAAGGTACCTTAAGAAACATGTCATGTTGTTTTCTATGATATACTGAGAAACCAAGGTTTTCACGGTAATAAGCCCATTACCCATGCTAAAATACCGTCAAGCCTGAAAGAATAAGGAAATTTCCACGCCCCTCTTCTGCACAGATTACCTATACCACTGTACTGAATGAATTCAATGGCTCTGTTGCTACAAGCTAAGCCACGATGGCACTGAGCGCTGTGCAGGTCAACTGAGTGTAGACCACATTTACCGTGCAGCTGTCTCATGCTTTCACAAGCACAAGAACTTCGCGTCGTAAGGTGTGTCTGAATAAAATATTTTATGCTGCGCATTACGTGTCAGCGAAACGTAATGAAAAGAAGGCATTGGGTTAATAAATGTGCTTTTTTAAAATAGACATTCGTGCTATTCAGCACCGTAGGTTACGTAACATACTATTTATTTTTCTGAAGCATTAGACGGATTGCATAAAAAGTTGGAATCTAAACGATTTCAAATGCCCCACCATGTATTTAGGTCGTTTTGATTAAATTTTGCAAATTGAGTATTAAGTATTGATAATATGGAGAGTGAGTACTTTTTTGTATTACCATGGGAATTGCGCTTCATGTAATAAGTACCACCAAATTCCCTTGGAATGGTTTACAAAATGCACATCCTCCTGTAAAGAGGTGAACAAATTTCATCATGTTTAGTGAATGAAGTTGTCCTGCATCCGCCATAATAGGGAATGGCTCATTCATTCCATATCACCTGTGCGATTGGTAGAAGGGGGTTGCTATCGAAACAGGCGTGGATTCCGGTCATAAAGTGGTTTTGTGCCCACGCAGATGCGCAGGAGGCCAGTGCTTAACTGATGGGGCTTGGTTGGCACCTAAATCATCCCGTACTGAGCTGTTCATTCTGACATTTCGGAATTGCGGGCTAATAATGTTAGTGAATTGCCACTGCCTTAAATTTACCTCTGTCACCATGAAAGTCATACAAACTCTGTCTGTCTGATGTGTATCTAAGCAGACACATTTCATTGCTTAATTTTGTAACTCACCAAAGAATGACTGGTCATGTGATAATATTTATAACCCAAAGATCTTCCCCATTCGACAACGATTATTACATACTTTTTTCTCATTTAGGGTTCTAAGCTTTAATATGTGCTATGCATTTAGGCATGTATTTAAAGTACAGTAAAACTTCTCACTTTTTGGGAAGGTTTGCAGCTAGATCTGGCTTTTTAAACCCACCATCATCGATGCCTGTTATACACACTAAGTGATCTGCAAAATTTTAACCTTGTTTTCTGCTCATTCAGCCAAATAACAAGTTTCAACTCTGTTCAGCGTTTTATTGCCATCTGTTGGGTTAATTGCCGGGAAAATTGTATGAATTTGCAATGGATTCTGTTGGAGGGTGGCTAAATTTGTGCACGACTGGCTGCACTCTTTGAAAAGCATCTAGGCGGTGTGTCTTCAGTCGGCTTTGCAAGTTTGTGACTCCCTTAAGCTCCATTTCGTGGCGTTTAAGTGACCTCATCGCACACTTCCGCCTTTGGATAGTCGATCCTGAAGACAGATAATAAAGTAGATTTGAAAATTGTAATAGTATATATATATATATATATATATATATATATATATA